TTCCTTCCTTCCTTCCTTCCTTCCTTCCTTCCTTCCTTCCTTCCTTCCTTCCTTCCTTCCTTCTCTCAATCAACCAACTGATATAGAGTGCTGAGTATGTGGCAGGAACTCCTTTCAGATGCTGGCAGTACTGACAGTGAACACAACAGACCTGAAGACATTACCCTTATGGAATTGATATTCATGTCTCCTTGGGAAGCTTCTCTTTTTCTTTCAATACTTCCAACCTTGGTGCTCTTCACTCTTCCTCTCCGGGCTCACTTCTAGACACTTACCTAGGAAATTACCTGCCTTCACTTAATTCTCACCCACCTTGGATGTTGTCTGTGGTGTACTTATTTCTCACTCAGCTCTCCCTGTGGAGTCCTGGATTGTATGTGCAGCATGCGATCCCCTGCTGATTATCTCCACTGACATGTCCCATCCATATCTCCGTTTCAGTGTGTGCTCAAGATCACCCTGCACCCACTACCAGAATGACTTCACCTTCTGTGTTCTTCATTTGGTCACTGTCTATCTGTCTTAATAGCTTATAGAGAAAGCTGGGCAGCATTCACCAATGCTTTCTGATTTCTGTCTATCCAATCAGCTGTCGTGTTTTGCCAGTTTACATTTTTAATATCGCCATCCAGTTTCCTCTGTTCTCATAGCCGTTAACTTAATTCAGGACAGCATCCAGGACTCAAATTGCCTCCTAACCAGTTTTCCTGATTTCTCTCATTCATTTTTTTTTATAAAACTTTAAGAGTAATTGTAAGTAATTTAAGAGTAATTGACCCTCCCTTTGCGTAACACATTTCATTGGCCCTGTTGCCATCACTGGCTTTTCATGATCTGATATCGCTCTATTTTTCTGTCCAACTTCATCCCGGCCACTTCTCCCTCCCTTGCCTCACCCAGCACACACACGTTCACTCTGAGCTTTATCCATACTGATGTATGTGCAGCCTCCTGGGCACATCAGATATATTTTTTGAAGTTAGAGACACGTTAACTTTATTCAATCGAATAGCTTTAAGAAATAATTTTTATATTGTATTTCTCCTTCTTTTCTAACCCTTCTGAACTTCATCGTTGGTTGAATGCTGTCCATTTGATCTCAAATGGTTGTTTACTCTAAGCTGTGTGAACCTCCTTAATGTGATTGTTTCCCTGTCTATTGTTTGGCTAAAATGGAGCCCCAGGGCTAAGTTCAGAATGGTGACAGAAGGACCACGGTCCCTGAGTTCCACCAGTCTCTATCCAACCAGTAAGCCTGGTCTTTTTATGATTTTGAGTTTTGTCCTATTGTGATTCTTTTCAGACAATTCGTGGTGGTGTCCAGGGACCATCTAGTTCTTCTGGTCTTGGGGTCATGGGCACTGGTATTCATATTGCACATTAGATGGCTGCTCATGAACTTTTAAGGCCCTAGTTGAGACTCACTAAAATAGGATGTAGACTTTGTGAATTACGTTATGCCAGTTGACCTTGGTGTTCTCTGACATTAGCTGTCGCTGCCGGCTTTCCCTCGGCCCCAGGAACAGAGAGGCAGAGTCACCGAGGCTGCAAACAAAGGAGTTTATTAACTAGCTTGAGCTAGGGCCCAAGTCCCAGAGCACCAACGCAGTGGCCTCCTCCAAGACGAGGACCCTGGCCTGGGGCACAAGCCAAGTTTTTATACTTTTTACAGGTTACATAAGCTGGGTGAAACTATTTCCCCTCACCCTCCCATAGTTCAATGACTTCATCTGGAGACAATTGGTTGTGCAGGTCTTTTTGGTTGACTAGCTCCACTCTCAGGACGTTCCAATTGTGGTCACTCAGAACTTTCCAGGTGCGGTCAGCGTTATTGTGATCACTCGGACCTTTCCAGTGTGGTCAGCATCATTTCGGGGGAGAGAGTGACTTTGTTAGAGAAACAAAACTTAAAGCTGGAAAAATGGAACTTAGGCCTATTTTAAGAGGCTCGGCCTGTCATGGAGTCACTGCTGCCTTACA